GATTATGCTGTTATTCACATTCTTGAACTCGTCTTTGCTGGACATAGCTGTACACTCGTGAAGGTCCCCAACCAGGACTGGAATAGCTTCAGGTGGCCGTATGTTTGACTCGAGTTGGTACCGCGAAGCATCTTCACAGAACAGTGTGAGCATCACCTATGACGTGCTTTTCATTCGTGAATGTCCTCCTTTTTACTCAAGTATAGGTTCTAGTTTAGTTTAGTTTTGTTTAGTTTGAATATACAGATCCTGCGTCAGATTGTAGCTTATGAATATTTAACAGAGTGGAGCTCAGTGATGGGCGTGGTTCACTTGATCTTTGAAGTTGCACACAGATGGGGACTCTGGCCTGGGACTGAAGCTTGGGGAGCCACTTTGGTCCTTTCACGAGAGGAGTTCCCTGAGAGGGAGACACCAGCGAAGTACTCAGTTTAAGAAGCAGCAGTGTGGTGTGACATCGGAGTTGTTAGGCATCCTCTCCTGGATGGCCTTGTTTACTCACTAGACCTGTGTGACTCTCCCTCCCTTCGTAAGACGAGGCTAGCAATGCCCACCTCTCAGATCCAGCCTCAGTAAGGCTTAAATGAGGCTATGGCAGAACACGCTTAGCCTCATCCCTCCTGTGTGGTGAACATTCTGCTCTGTCCATTTGCGGGACACTGTGGTTCTCAGTTACCTAGCTTTCTAACAACCTCCTTTCCCCAGGTAGGATAGTAAGTTGCAAAATGCGAAATTTTTACCTACATTCAGGAAATTTCATTCTGTTCCCCCCACCAAGAGTGAAAGTCATTTCCCAAAGGTGTGTTTGTTTGTTTGTTTGTTTTTGTCTTTCTTTACACCTCAAGGAAAAAGACTTCATGAACAACTCCAGTGTTTTTCAGGGTAACTGACAGTTGGTGTTTGAAAGTGACTCCCCAGTTAGTGCAGTTTTTACAGCGCCCAATATATCCTGCTTTATATAGTACTGTGAGAGTTCATGAAATTTAAAGAAATCATTGACCCTTCAAATTAGAGTTTACCTCCTACTTCTCTCTTCTTAGGATGACAAAAAAAAAAAGTGACAGTTCCATATTATCTGATTAAATGCCACCAGGTATAATCTTCCTTTCAAGGAGTGTTCTGAAGTTGTTATCCAAAGTCAATTCATTACGTAATATTCTCCCTCTTTACCTCCAGCTTTTCTACCCAACCAAACTTACCAGAATATAGTATATAGGGAATGTCAAATCCTCTGACAAAAAGGTGACATAAGGAGAAATATTTCTGAAAGTTTCAAGAATAGTCATTGGCTACAAGAGCAAAAAAAAAAGTTTTGACTAATTAATTTTAAACTATGTAGACTATATTAAAATTTTACTTGTTAGTAAAAATTTTAAAGACCAGAGTACAACTCTTTCCTGCAGAGTTTTCTGTGGATCTCACATCAGTTGATTTAGAACTCTCTTTTTGTACTCCTTTGCTTTTGACACTCCAGAAGGAGGCAGAATTCTTAAGTTAAAGTGGCAAAGCTGTTATCTCTGCTTGTTAGGACTTACACACACACAGTCACTGATTTGGTAACCATTTATTGAACCCAAAAATTTATCATCTAAATATCTGGCATATTTCTGGTGTAGGAGTGCAATCAAAGTGAAAGAAAAAAAGATAAAATTCTTGATCTCATATAATTGTTGTCCTTGTGGAAGAAAAAAAAAATGACCAAGTAGTATAAATAATATATCAGAATTCAAAGTGTTCTGGGGAAAATGAAGGGGAGGAGAGAAATGCAGCAGATCCCAACAGGGCCTTTTGATCATTATGAAGACATTGTGTTTCTCTTGTTTGAGATAGAAAAATCGCTGGAGAGCTTTGGGTGTAAGACATGCCCTGACCCGCAGTTTATGCCGATCACTCAGGTTGCACTGTTGACAGAAGAGTTGAGGAGTTCAAGGAGGACATTAGGATCAGTTAGGAGGCACATGTGGTAATCACGGTTGCTTAGACCAAGAGAATGGCAGTGACCATGGTCGGAAGAGGTTCCAGTCTGAATACGTTCTAATAAAAGCCAGCAGTGTGCTGGTGGACCACCTGGATGCTTTTCATTAATGGCATGTTCCGACCTAGTGGGCTAAGGAAGGAAGCACAGGACATTTCTCAGTCTCTGTGCTCTGGGAGGGGCGGGGAAGCAGGTGGTATCGTTGCAGAAGTCAGGAGAATGTTGTTATTTGCTTGTTCTGGCAACACCCGGGGTACAATTTTTCTGCACTGTTCATTTTAAAAGTGGGTTTTGATACCTGGGAATGCTTAAGGTCAATACTGATAATCTCTTTAAATAAAAATAGAATAGAATAATGATGAAAACCAGAAGAATAAGCCTGGTTACTTTTAAGGAACGGTAAATGTTCATTGCTAAAAATAGAAGTGATGTTATACCTTAAGACTTACATTACCTTGAAGACACGAGAAGACTGTCTACCTTTGACCTGTTCAGTTGCCCACAATGTTCAGTTGCTGGGAACAGAAGACTTACTGACTTCGCAGGGGGTCATTGTTTTCCTAATAAAATTGTCCTTATGTTTAATGAATTGGAATAGCTAAAGATACTTCATAGCATTTTTTGTTATTGCAAGAAATTCCATAACATTTAAACTCTACACATTGACTGAACAACATAATATAATGATTAAATTTAAATTAGTGGTAATGTGTATGAAATATACAAAACATGCAAACCATTGCGATATACATTTAAGCTCTGTGTGTCAACCGCTAGAGTTTAGAAATAAAACTATACATGGGCCGAATATCCCCATTATTCTTCGTGGCATCCTAACAGAATGTAAGAAGCACATGTCAGGTCAGGTCAGTGGTCTGCTCTAAAGCCTTCAGTGGTTTCTCACTTTGTTTTACTTGCCTTGTACTCTTACCTTCACTTCTTCCTCAGCAGTAGCCATTTGGGATGTGTTAACCCGTATTGGAGAGCCTAATTTGAATCTTGACTTCTCTCTGATCTGGTGTCCTGCTAATCTCCAACATGGAAGGCAGCTGAAGATGGTTCACGTACTTGGTTCTGCTCCCCTAATGGGAGGCAGGAGTTCCTGGGTGCTAGCTTCCACCTGACCCAGCATTTGCTGTTGGGGCATGTGGAGAGTAAACTAATAAATACATCTCTCTGCCTCTGGCTCTCCCTCTAATAAAATAAAAACAACTGAATGAAAATTATTTTAAGAAGATACTGGGGAAATTAGAAACTTTGTATATGCTTCCTGACTGCACCCTCTTTGGCTTCCCTTAAAAAAAACATTGTATACAATTCAGTATTTATTCCCCACGCGTGACTGCATTTTTATGACATATGTATGTCTTTCTAAATAATTTGTAGTTGAACATATATCAAAGATATTACTAGTTTATTAATTTCATCTCCAAAACAGGTCTTGAATTTTCTTCTTATTTCGAATCCGTGTCCTCCTATAGAGTCTTTCCTACTTTTCCTGTCCTTTTCATCCTGCTGTTCTCCATGGCATCCCAACAGAATGTGATGAGACCTGTGTCCGGCATGCCACTGCTTGCTGTGTAGGATTTCTGTCATATAATACCAGCTAGAAGTAGTTTAAAATGGGAACTTGTGTTGAAGAATAAATACCTTTATAGTCCTACTTTCAACAACACCCAGTTTAGCTGATGGACTGTCGGGCTTCCACTTTGTGTCTCAGAAGTTTGCCAGGGGGGACCAGCAGGCTTTGTAATTCTGGGCCGCAGGCTGCACTCATGTTTTTACATACCTTGTCCTGCTTGTTGTTTTCTCCTCCAAGCAAACACCTGCCCTTCACATCCTTCATGGAGTTGACCAATGCAAAATCAACTTTACCTCACATGTGTCAAGTCTCATTATCTTGTCATTCATCTCTGAAAGCAAAGAAGCAGATAGGCATTGTTTCTCTTGAGAAGTCTTCATTTTCCGTTTTGATCGTAATACTGAAGTCCTCATCAACTCTCAGAATGTCTGTGTCTCAACCCAACACTGTTGATAGCTGAGTGCTCCCTCTGTGATCTGTTAGAACTTCTCCATGTTGAATCCCTTGGCCTAATGCTCGTAGTACTTTTGCAGCAGCTGCCTTTCACATGTACTTAACCGTTGTCACCCACTGTTTGTCATTCGTAATCAAAGAGTGAGCGTATTTATTTATGTCTAGGCATACAATATCTACTTACCAGTACTAGAATTGTTCATTAACTAGTTAGAAAGGCATAATAGGACCTTCTCCTACTTTTTAGAGTGCCTCAACAAGGCATTCAGAAGCTCATTTTTAAAAGTACACCTGACATTTTGCCCTTGTTCATGTAAGACTATTGCCAAGCTCAGTGCAATAGCCTAATTGCTAAGTCCTCACCTAGCATCTGCCAGGATCCTATATGAGCACTGGTTCATGTCCTGGCTGCTCAACTTCCCATCCAGCTCCCTGCTTGTGGCCTGGGAAAGCAGTTGAGGATGACCCAAAGCCTTGGGACCCTGCACCTGCATGGGAGACCTGGAGGAATTCCTAGCTCCTGGCTTTGGATTGGCTCAGGTCTGGCCATTCTGGCCACTTGAGGAGTGAACCAGCAGATGGAAGAGCTTTCTCTGTGTCTCTTCCTATCTCTGTATATCTGACTTTCCCAAAAAAGTAAAGAAATCTTTAAAAGAGAGGGGGAGAGAGAGAGATGAATGAATGGGACGTGTGTTGTGTAGCATAGAATGCAAAGCTGCTGTGCACCCTATGGGCACATATAGCTTTTGCCCCAGGTGCTCCACTTCTGATACAGCATCTGCAGAAAACAAACTGTTTGAACCTCTGTCTCTCAAATGACAGGCCCAGATGGTGCTCCTGGCTCCTGACTTCTGCCTGCTCTGGCCTTGGTGACCAGATGGAAGATCTCTCTGTCTCTCCTTCTCTCTCTGCAAGTCTTACTTTCAAATAACTAAATCTTTAAAATATATTAACATATGATTCTTAGGAAAGGATAAAAAGAAGTATCTAGTACTCACTTTGTAGCACATTTACTGATATTGGAACAATACAGAGAAGATTAGCAATGGCCCTGCGCAAGGATGACACGCAACTTCCTGAGGCATTGGCTGTGTTTAGAAGTCTTTTCATGGAAGTCAAACCACAGGCATCAGAGAATTCACCTGGGAAGAAACCTTACACAGAACATGGAAAAGGTTTTAGCCAAAAGTTATACTTTGTTACTTATGAAAGGATTCACCCGAAAGTTGTACTTTGTTACTTATAAAAGGATTCACCTGGGGAGAGGCCTTAGAGAATGTAATAAAAATGGAAGAACATTTTACCAAAACTGAAGCCTCAATAAGCATAGAATGCACAGAAGGAAAAAAAAATCTTGTAAATGTACCAAATGTTTAAAAATCCTTTGCCAAAAGCTAGACCTGAACAGATAGCAGACGAGTTACACTTACGGGAAAAAAGGCCTGTCAATGAAATGAGTGTAAGAAATCCTTGTGCCAGAAATGAGCTCGGCCCAGACCCAGAACTCAGAAGAGAGGATGCACACAGGAAAGCTGCTGTGAGCCATCACACTGTTAAGGAACCACACGGGAGAATGAGGGACGTTGGGCAACTTCTTATTGCAAGGCAAACATCAAGAAGCATCAGGATAATTACGCAGAGGAAACATGGTGAAAGTGTGCTTTGTGTTGAAAAACACTTGGTTAAAAAAATACTAGGAAAAAAAGAAAAACACTAGGTTGATTTACAGTTGCGTGTACTTATACACTGAGGTGTTTTTGAGCAAACGGATAAGTGTCTCTTGGTCATTTTTAACAGCAGCAGCAAAGCAAAGAAGCACTGGGGTACTACTTTCTATCTTATGTGGGAGTTTTTGATGAGACAGGCATGAACTTTTGGGGAGTGAGGAAAGCGAGCTGGAGAGGGTAAAGTCATGCTTCTCCCCCAATTTCCTTGAATTCATTAACGTGGCAAATCCTAGGAAGCAAGAAAATAGTTGAAGGTAATGATTTCGGAGAAGCTCGGAGCAGAGGGGCAGTATCCTCCACGTTTCTGCGGGTCGCTGCGCTCCGGCTCTCCGTTCCAGAGGTGAGGACCCCCGTGTGCCGCTCCCGGCAGGGCCGTGCAGGCAGATGTTGTTGCAGGTTTATCAACAAAGTCAGGCTGACACAGAGCAGGTACGCCTTCTGACAGCTCAACTTCCGCAGCAATAGTTTCTGGATCAGATTTGTTTCACAGTGAAACTGTAGCAGGACAAATTATGACTGAAAATAGACAAATACTTTATTTCATGAGGACCGAGGGGAAGAACAAGAAGAAATGTTTCAGAGTTAACACTTGTCAAGTTGGGAATGACGGTGGCTCCGGCTCCTCCCGTGTAAAGCACTCGGACCTGTTTGGATTTTTACTTTTCATTGACTTGGAAGATGGTACATGATGATTGAAATGGAACCCTATAACCCTTAAGCTTGAAAGTCTTTCTTTTAATTATTCGGGATTTTTAAGAAGCTGATTCACAAGGACCTCTTTTTACAAAGAGACACGTTGCTTAATGCTTGCTTTTTTATAGCTGATGCCAGTTACTTTTTGACCAAAACTGTTTCTTTGATACCAAAAATAGGTGATGAGGCTTACAAGACGCTGCATGTACATGAGAGGCACGTTGGGAGGATTTAGCAATCCCAGCGCTGCGCTGTAACACAGATGGCCTGTGTGCTTGGGTCGGGGGCGAGACTGTGCCTGTCTTGCTCTGAGTTTTCGCGTCTCAAGCTATGGCAGCACTGTTAAATGGGTCACAGGCGTGTTCTGTGCCTCACCCTGAAGCAAGGGGGCCCTAGCATCAGTCTTCTTTACTCAAAAATGTGGCATTTCCAGAGCTGGTTTGTACTTCCAGTGTGCACGCAGACGGGGACGGAGCTCTCTGCCAACACTGATAGTGGTGTATTTTAGGCCATTCACAAAACTTGGTATTGGAGACACAATACCTTTTTAGCAGGAGGCAGGTTGGAATTGTCAGATAAAGCAATATGCAAACACTTGCATTAAATTACTATAGGAATTTGATAATTTTTGTATTTAAAACAAAATTTTGGCAGTTTCCTACCAGGCAACTTAACATTACACTGAGCAGAATGATGTGTTGCATATAATGTCACAAGAAAAGTGGCGTCCAGTCCAAGCTGGAGGATTGTCCGTTGTGGATCCCACTGCTGGTGTGCTGTGCAGGCGCTGTCTGCTCATTCATTCATTTGGTTATCCTTACTGAAACGTTTTAAAGATTTATTAATTTTTATTGAAAAGGCACATTTTAAAGAGAGAAGGAACAGAGAGAGATCTTCCATCTAATTCACTCCCCAAACGGCTGCAACAGCTGGAGCTGAGCCAGTCCGAAGCCAGGGGCCAGGATGTTTCTTCAGGTCTCCCACATGGGTGCAGGGTTCCAAAGCTTTGGACTGTCCTCCACTGCTTTCTCAGGCCACAAGCAGGGTGCTGGATGGGAAGTTGAGCAGCCGGGATGTGAACTTGCGCCCAGAAGGGATGCCCACTCTGCAGACCTAACTGGCGATGCCCTATGTTCTTTTGTCCTTGCCTGCCGTGTGGGAAACCCAGATGGAGTTCCTGGCTCCTGGCTCTGGCTTGGCCCAGCCCACGCTTTTGTGGATATTCAGAGAGTGAGCCGGGGGATGGAATATCTTCCTCTGTGTTTGTTTCTCTCTTGGCCTTTCAAATAAATAGATAAACAGACAGACAAAATCTTAAATTAAATAAGGGGCATACAAATTGGAATGAAGAAGTCAGAATAGCTATACTTGCAGGTGCCATGACATACATGGAAAAACTGAAATGTATGAAATGTGTTAGAAAAAATAGAATTTAGACAAGTTGCAGGATAAAAAATCAACATACTGAAACAACAGCATTTTAATAAACTAGTACCAAATTTGCCAAAAAAAAAATCAAGATGTGATTTCACTCACAATAGCTACAAGAAATAAAGTAGGAATAAATTTAAGCAAGAAGTGAAAGATCCATCCAGAGAGAATTATGAAACACCGGTGAGAACAGATGATAGAGGACACAAAGCATATAACATGCTCAAGGATTGGAATAATTAATCTTGTTAAAATGCTCATGCCACTCAAAACAATTCATGGGATTTTATTGGAAAGTCAGATATACAGAGAGGAGGAGAGACAAAGAGGAAGATCTTCCACCCGTTGATTCACTCCCCATGTGGCCGCCACAGCCCGAGCTGATTGGAAGCCAGGAGACCTGAGCCACTTCTGGGTGTCCCCCACAGGTGCAGTGCCTCAGGGCTTTGGGCGGTCCTTGACTTCTTTCCCAGACCACAAGGAGGGAGCTGGGAGCTGCATGGGAAGTGGGGCACCAGGATATGAACTGGCATCTGTATGGGTTCCCAGCGCATGCAAGGCGAGGACTTTAGCTGCTAGACTACTGCGCCAGGCCCACAATTTATAGATTTAATGAACTCTGTCAAAATGTTAATGATATTCCTTATAGAAATAGAAAAATAAAATACTACAATTTATCTGACGCTTTAAGATCCAGAATTGGCAGAGCAATACTGTGTGAATATAAAATAAAATATAAATAAAAATATAAGATAAAATGAAATTTTGCTGCCCATGGGACCGTAGTTGTGTTGGTGTACATTTTTATCTTCGCGTGCCTCCGAGGCGGGCATCTGGCACAGCAGTTGGTGCTGTTTAATGATCGCATCCACACAGGAGTGCCTTCTGCATGCAGGATTCTGTTGATTCCTACGCCGAGAGGCAGCGTGGTGTCTGGGATTCTGACACCACGTGGAAGCCCTAGATTGATTTCCAAGCTCCTGCCTTCAGCCTGGCAGAGCCCTGGTTGTTGGGGCTTTAGGGAGTGAGCCAATGGATGGAGGAGCTCTCTGTCTGCCTTTCAAATAAATATAAAGAAATAAATAAAACTTCAAAGATTTATTCACTTACTTAAAAGGCATAGTTTATAGAGAGACGAAGACAGAGAGAAACATCTCCCATCTGCTGGTCCATTCCCAAAGTGCAGTCAGAGCTGGGCCCATCTGAAGCAAAGAATCAGGAGCTTCCTCTGGCCCTGCCGCATGAGCGTCCTGTGTTGCATTCCACACGCATCAGCAGCGATCTGGACCGGAAGTAGAGTAGCCAGGGCTCTCTAAGAGTGTCTGGCACCCTCATTGGAGGATGGCGAGCTAGGTGAGGTTTTATAAAAACGCTGGCCACCTACATTTCAAAACATCTTTATTCAGAGAAATAATCTTGTATTTTAAAGTTAGTCTTGAAGAGTCAAAGTAGTTGTATCCGTGCGAGGCAGTTCAAGCCCTGGCTGCTTAGTTTCTGGTCTGCTCCCTACTGCTGTGCCTGGAAGGATGGTGGACAGCCTGAGCGCTGGGTTCTGCACCCTGTCAGAGACCTGCAGGGACTCCAGCTCCTGGAACAGCCCTGGCCTTGCCGCCATCTGGGGAATGAACCAGAGATGATGAGTCTCTTGCTCCTTTTGTCACTCTTTCAAATAAACAACCTTTTAAAAATATATATACTATTTCATTTGTTTAGAAGTCCCAGGAGCCCTGAACTGCTCTGGGTCTCCCACATGACAGGCCAGCGCCCAAATACTTGGGCCACCACTGGTTGCTTTACCAAGCACATTAGCAAGGAGCTGGCTCAGAGGCAGAGCAGGCAGGCCTCAAACTATTGACATTCTGCTATTGGCAGGCGGTGGCTTATCATATCATCTGTCATATGCATTGAATCGAAGTTAACTGTCAACTTGTAAGACTGAAGAGTAGAGTTGACATTGTGGATTGTTTGTTGATGTTATAAATGCGTCCTCCAGCACTTGTGCCTTTTATATTTTACATTCAGCGCATATTTTGGTGTATGTTGCATAACACAAAATCATCTAATAGTACCACACTTTTCTGGAACGGTTGAAGAGGGAACATATTATACAGTTTGTGTAAAAGCTTAAACTCGATTTTCTTTGCAGCCGTTTCTCTGATGCTGTGATTCTTTATTGAGGAGGAAAAAAAAAATCACAGAACGCATTAATATGTTGCATTATGTCAGTAGTATAGTTAGATTCTTA